TATGCGCGTGCTTTTAGCTAATTAGAAACTGCAAAATGTTTTGAATGAATAATAATAACTGTTAAGAAATTTTTACAGTACAGGCTTGGGGGTACTCCCTTATATAAGCTGTATAGGTGTGTGCCGCTCATGACATCTGCATTCTCATTGTCCGCAGCGAAAGACAGCATAATGAGAAGGAAGCAACACCAAATAATGAGCCCAAAATTTTGCACTAAGTGCATGCTTGTAATTTCTCTCTTCAGTTCACTGAAAACTTCTTGGAAATGCTAAATAAAAAAGAAACAACTTTACTTTAAGCATCAATCTAACAATTGTTAAAAGGCGGAAAGCGACATTTAGTCGAACGATCAAGGTCTGCAGTGACGGAGGTGAAAAAAGCCCTACCCCCTGGAAAATACTGCTCAGTCTTACCTTTAATGGTTTTTAAGAGCCCTTGGAGCAAAAATTTGGAAGAATTCAAAACAGAAATCGTGTTTGAAACTAAGTATTATTGCAGCAAAAAGTTAGTTACGATACCTTGGCGTGGTGCGGAGCAACCTTTGCCGTCGATGTTTTAAAATATATAGATCCTTTACAACGCTGCAAGTGATGTGGTTCGTCGGAACCTTACTGATTCAACTGTAAGGTAGCCTTTAAAGAAACATTAACCCGTTTAAAAAAAGCCTAGAAGCTTATCTCCTAGCGGTACGAAGTTTTCGCAAACAGTTACTGAAGATGAATAATGAACGGTTACGCCTCAGAAGTACGCTCATTAACATGCAGATTATCAAACATCATTAAAGTTCCGCGCATTTTGTACGGTCTTCAGAAGAGAAGTGATGTGTAAAGAGGTCCTTCTAAAGACCACTAAAATAAGTAATTAACTCTCTAATTGAGCCTCGAAGTACCAAAGAGTACATTATGAAAGGACTTTTACACCTTTTAAAAAGTTAGGGAGCACGCTACGCTGACGCTAAATCAAAGACAATAATATCCTTATGCAATCACTGTGCAATGTCCCCTCGAATGTTGTGATTTGTGTGACTCCAGCGGACTTCATACGGCTCAAGAAGACGTATGAATAGAGTACATTGGAGCGGTCAACATTCGATGATTTCTTATATCTCTTTATTTTTATAGTCAGTATAACAACAGGCCTGGATAATGAATAGATTTCTCGGAATTTCGACTTCAGGCCTCAAATCCAGACTCGTGCCCAGTCGCTGTCCGTGGAAACGTAAATGTGAGAGACCATTAGCAAAGATCAGGTCAGAAACGCGTACGAAAAATTGGAAAACAAGGGTAAACACATTTCCCCTTAGAAATGTGGAAAGTTCTCATCAACAGATTCTCCTACAATGTTACCGTAAATGATCTAATAAACGCCCAGACCCCGGTTCCTGGAAAGCCGATTAGCGCAAATCGAGGATTAAATCTCGCTAATCGGGGAACACATTTTATCCCACGATTAGATACTGTTCCTGAAAGCACGATAAACATTAATCTAGGAATAAACTAAGTGTTTAATTTAACCCCCCTAGCGAAGTCGATTAAGTCACTTATTGGGGGAAAAGTTTGTAAAAACAAACAAAATGGCAGACTTACCGTTGCCACAAATATCACAAATACGTGAAAAAAAAAATAAAATAAAATAAAAATGGTTTCGACAGCAAGAAATTTTTCGTCTCCTCCGAGCCCTGATGGTTCCGGCAGTCGAAAGTTTGAGGACATGGGAGTAGCCGTCCTTTCTTTGGAACTTTCTTAGGAACGTTTTCTCTTTAGACCGATTTTTTTTTTGTAAAACAAAAATGAACGATATAAAAGAAACGACTTTTAAATGAAATTTGTTCAAAAATCTTAACGTCTTTTGAAATCGATTATTATCACACCCTTCAGTTTAAGACAAAAATTGCAAGATTCGGCCCAGTAATAAGCTAAAATAGGAATAACACAACCTCCAAAAATCGGCATTTACTTCGTGAACCAGACACTGATGAAGCAGAACAAAATTACATCTGCTATTTGGAGTACATTTCCCGACCTGAACAGCCCTTTATTATCTTCTATACATGCACTATCGAGGTGAACTTAACATTGACGAAGGTAAGGATAGTTAGTAAACGGCGTAACGGGTAACGGCGTAACGAGAAACAGCGTAACGAGTTTTTTTTTTTTTTTTTTCTCTGAAGCCCGATTTCTCTAAACCAGCCAAACTATTGAGCAAGATAAAAATCTTATCTTAAATTGTTTTGTCCTAAAAAGATATCATTATCTTTCATCTTTGATGAGATGATAAAAGTGTTTACGTTTACGAACGGGAAAGTAAAACTCTTTTTAACTTGGGGCAGCTAATCGAACGAAACCAAACCAAAAATTAATCGAACTCAATCGAACCCAGTCGGTCTGATTGTTGTTCGATTGGTTCGGTAAACGAACAAAATCGATGGAACCACAGGTAGCCCAAGCTCGAAATATGAGCGTCGGCGAACATCGGCATTGTTGCGTAACATTCAAAATATAAGGATTTGTATGGGAAAAAAACCTATCGTTTCTGTAACCTACGAAAATGAAAGGATTTCAATAAAAAAACAGCTTACCTTACTTAAAATGTGTGTTACGTCTCTCCTGTGTGGTCCACGGGTCGATTTATGGCCGTTTTATGGGTTTTTATGTAAATGGTTTTCTCTATATATAAAGGTTTACCAAGGTTGGGCACTCCAGCGAAGCGGCTCGTCAGAGGCTCGACCGATCCACCGAAGGAAACGGCCGTAAATTCGCTCCAACCGCTCCAATCGCCTCCAAATTCCGCCTAGGTAACACACAATAGTTCTCCTCTCCATTCGTTAGCTTGCTTCAAGATGCCTTTGCACCGAGAGCGAATCAAAGGTCGCAAATCTCTGCAACCTTTCCCGTCTGAATCCATCGACTGAGGCTCGGCTTGAACTCCGCGTTACCATTGAAAGATAGCGACGCGGCCTGAGACTCCAATTACTCACACTCGGAGTGGGAGACAGTCCCGGGGGGGGGGGCACTTGGGTATTTTTTGGGTGGGTATGTGCCGCCGTGGACTCCAAATTGGCACCCCGTTCTAAAAAAATTTCCCCTAAAATTGATACCCCGTTCTAGAATTCGCCCTAAAAATGATACCCCGTTCTAGAAATGGGCCGATTTTTTATACTCCGTTCTAAGGTGCAAAGAATACAACAGTTTGCTTGTTAACGCATTGAACCGTATTTTTAAAAGCAATCTGTCCTTGAATAATTTCAAATGGCTGCTTACAAAACTGGAGCTTTCGTGCGTTCGATATATTATACCCCGTTCTAGAAAACGCCTCTGAAATGGATACCCCGTTCTAACTCAGGAGCTTCAAAATCACGACCCCGTTGGGCGGCACATACCCGTATAGGTAATGTATGGGAGTACCCCCCTTCGGGAGACAGTCTGTTGCTCCCGTTGACATCAATACCTGAGAAAGAAAACAACGGGAGCAAGAGACTGTCTCCCACCCCTAGAGTGAGTAATTTGAGTCTCAGAGATTAGCTTAATTCTTCATATCCTACGAAAGACGAATTTATTGATGTTGATTGCTTTATTATTCATTCAAAATAATTCCTAGTTTAAAAACATAGCTAAAACATTCTTCCCTGCATCGATGTCAAGTTCATCTTCGATAGTGTACGTTTAGGTTTGTCCAGCTCCGCAAATAGCAGATGTCGCCCTCCGAGTTGTCTTCTTGCTGTTTCTGCTATGTTTTTAGCTATTATTTTGCCTATTTGCAGCTGTAGTTCTTACTCTTGAAATGAGTGAGGTATCCGCCATTTTTGTTTTCACAACCAAAACAACTCGACCTCGTCCCCAGGTCTTCTCGGTTTACGGTGCATTACCTGTAGCTGGCTACATTTTTGACGTCATTTCCTCGTTAAACACAAAATCCTTCCAAATTTGGTCATCAGTAACAGGTTATGGTGAATTATGCGTGTGCTTTTAGCCAATCAGAATTGAGGAAATATTTTGAATGAATAATAAAAAGAATTATGCAGATCTGGGACGGTGTTATCCACCGAGGCCGACACCCTCCTCGATCTGTATAATTCTTCATATCCTAAGAAAGCCGAATCATTAATTGCTGATTGACTGAAGCTATGAGTATAATATCTCTGAACAATTATGCAGATCAAGGAGCTGGGTGGCCGATGTGGAAATTAAAACAGCCTCGACTCCGAGAACTACATAATTTTTCATTTCAAACGAAAACCAAAATCAATGGCTGTTTTATTAGACATATTAAATTCTGCAAGCAGAATACTGCAATGCTGATCTTACCACGTGAAAATTAACTCTGCAAGACATCAACACGACACCGAAAGAACTCAAAACAGAGCGGGATTGTAGCCATAGACAGCTGTTTGGCCCTCTTTAGGGCTCCTTTTTTATTTATTTAAAATATTTCTAGGTTTTTAACATCATTACCTCCTCGTAGCGTTTCTTCAAAACATTTTCCTGTTAATCGGCACAGTTTCAGAATCATCATGCTCATGCTGACACTTGAACAGGTATTGGTTCCTTGCAGATACTCCTCAAAATGAAGAACACATCCACCAAGCATACATACATTTTTAATATTCTTGCATTTGTTCCCTTCACTTTCTGTAATTCGGCTATTTAATCACGCTTGCGTTAGCTGGGAGACTCTAAAAATGCAACTGTTTCTTTTCTTTTTGTGTGTGTGCGCACCAAAAGGAAAGTCATGGTCCCTGGCGGTCCTAGCGGAGACTGTGGAAACTGGGGATGAGATTGGCGACATGACGATAGCCATAGTACATAGAAAGCTCGTTCAGGAAATATTAATGCGGCAGGACTTCTCCCAGGGTGGCGGGTGACGGATGTCGGGTGATGGGTGACAGGTGGTGGGCGACGGGTGACGGGGATATTAATAATGAAAATCATGATAGTCAATAAAAGTTAATAATTATATCCTTATTAATAATGAACACAAATCACTGTAACTTTTTTTTTTTGTTAAATTACAGCTGCAAGACCTGGCTGTAAGTCCGGATATTCGAGATCCATCTTTGAACACAGCTCAATGTGTTATACAGGGTCATAACACTGCATTCAGTGACACCAAAGGACATAGTGTTAAAATGTTATGTGTATGTAATCTTTTTGTAATGAGCGCTGGCCTTATTGTCAGTTCGGCGATAATCGACATGAACAAATTTTACAGATTAAGGTGCAGGAAGATTAAAAACTCAGGAAGTGCCATGTGTTTTTCGAGTCACTGCCTGTCAGTACTGGGCGAAGTATATATTCTTGTTGCTTTTGTATTTTGTTTGTACGTTCGTTTATCTGGTTCACTTTTTTTTTATATTTCTTCTTTGTTCATATTTATGTGGATCTGTCTAACATGCTTTTTGTATATGCAAATTTACAACGTATCATTACCCCGTCATACGGGTATACAAGACCTATTAATGATGCACTATGTATTTGGAGGAAATACGATATGCTATTTAAGTTGCTGGCTTGTAATTGGGATAAGAATCAATCCGTCATGGGGTTTAACTGTTGCTCTCTTTATCATCTCTATTTTCGCTGCATTTACTTACGCAGTGTACCTTTACCTGGAGGTAATTTACCCAAACGGTTATAACATGAGAGAGCGAGAAAATACAAGACTAGACTTTTTAAGGGGAACTTATATATTGCCTGAGGATGACAACAGTCAAAACAATTATGATCTCCAAAACCGAGCTATTGCGATTCTTAAGTCCCTTACTTTTTCGGTACGCTCAAACCTAAACGGAGTTATTGACCATTTTACTCTATTGGAACGCATCAGAGGCATCAAGGTTATATTTGTTTGTATTCTTGGATGTATAGCTGTGGTGTCCTTTTTTCTCATAGTAATTCTAGCAGGGCCGTCAATAGCTGTACAGACTAGAGCTGCAGACGAACTCCTTAAAACCTCCTCTTTGTATTTTATTACTGCATTTATAACGTGGGCTACTTTGAAGAAGCGCGCTTCTATCGATACTCCCCTCCAAAATGTAAGACCCCAAAATGCTGAAGAACAGGCCACTGACCACCACACTGGAGACTACCCCGGTGGCGAGTTGGGTACCCAATACCCGCTCATTATGTGGGAAACAAGCGTGTAGAAATACAAGTTCTTTTTAGAAAATGCACGCAATTTCTGGCCAATGATTACGATTAACGTGCGTTCGAGTCCTTTGAACATGAATTATATTTTAGAGTAATAAATATACTGATTTGATTGATTGATTGATATAATGATATCCCAGGAAGGAAGGGGTGGGGGGGTGCGCACTCCTGCACACTCCCACTAGATCCGCCCCTGAGCGTATAGTTTTATACATATTGATTAATGGAAAAATGTGTTTGCAGAATGAATCCATATATTGGTCACATTAAAAACAATCCATCTTATTTGTAGAAAATTAGGTTATGTTAGCCTTACATTCAAGAATACAAATTACTCATAGTTATTCATATCTTTGATATTTCTTGTTTTGTTTAAGTTACGATTTGCACCGAGTTACTCGTAACGTTAGACGGCATATTGTAACTCATCCCTGATGAACATTGTAATTACCTAGTTTAAAGAATCGCAGTTATTAGTTTGCACATTACTGAGTCATGAGAATTAAAAAAGTGTCCATTAAAGATAAAATGTCTAGAAGAAACACAGTCTCGTTATTGCGCATGTACCAAACTTTCTTGCAGGATTTTGCGAATTCAAAATATGCGAGTAGTGTCCGGTTACACAACCTTTACGTTGTGCACGGTTAAGTTCGATACTACATTGATCCTTCTCAAAATTACAGATCAGTGATATATTGTTTCCGTTAGGTTTCGATTTGTGAAAAGTCAAGAATATTTGGCGTTGCTTTCTTTGCCGTTGGCCGGAGAACCGAGGAAGGAAAGCACTTTGATGCCAATTTGCAGGCCTATTACTTCCGCCAGCCTCCACACAAACTTAGATACTAATCGTGGAGGAATAAGCAAAAATGGAACAGCAGCATAAAATACTATATATAAAGAAAGTAACCCATGTTTTGGAATAGAAATATGGCCACCTTGATGTCATGTGGAAACGCTCTATGCCAAGATGCCAAGGAATATGAATGAGATTATGCACTTTGCTGTCGGTCTGTTCACTGGGTGGATTTACCATTTACTCTTTCGCCTGTAGATGGAATACCATGATACTACCTTTCACATTGCTCTATTCACTTTACGAATTGGCATTTAGGATTATTCTAGCATTTTCATTATGGTCGCTTTGAAAGTTAAAGGAAAGTTAAGCTGTTATCAAATTTAGGCCCTGTCCACACGTATCAGTTTTCATATGAAAACGCAACTTTTTCTTTACGGATACGGCTTCCGTCCACGCGTATCCGACGAAAACGAAAACGGAAACGGAAACGCTGGGGACACGTTATCAGTTCCAATCTACTCCGCACAATATTAGAAACTTATTCAAGATGGCGGACGCACGCTTCCCTTTCTTGCCTTTTATACTTGGGCTTATTTCTGACCTAATTGCTTGTTTTCAAGCAAATTTAGCTTTGTTAATTCTACAAGCTGATTATTCCAGGAGGCGGCAGAACATTATCAGGTTACTGTCGTTGCAAGTGTCAAGAGGCGGAAGGTTGGATCTCCCTTTAGGTTGACTTTGTTTTTGCCCTGATTTGGACATTTTAAACTGTTTCTGTAACTTTAAAGAACGTCACAACAATATAAACCCACACCAAAGAAATTCAAAGATGGCGCAAATTTACTATTTCGGGGACTCATAATAGCGAACACGTATGCGTCAAGCATCCGCAGTCGGGTAAGTTATCGTTTTCAAATCGATTCATCGTACACGTGTGGACGGGCGAAAACGATGCGAAAATGCTACGAGTGGACAAGAATTTTATTGGAAAACGGAGAAAAAGAGTTGCGTTTTCAAACGAATACGGATACGTGTGGACAGGGCCTCAGGGAAAACGTGGAAAATTGAAGCCTGGAACAGGACGACAAAACAAAATCGATTGTACCATACAAAGTTTACCAACCAAGATCGATTTACAAAAGGATTGTGTAGAGAATCCACGTCGGAACAGGGGCAGCCAGCGTCAATTTTCGGAAAATATCTGTTCGGAAGACGATTCGAGATCTAGAATTTTCGGAACATTTGTTGTAAAATTTCTTGCATGCCTGCCTCTCCTAGGATTTTCGAACATCTGAAAAATGGTAAAATTCCCCATCTTTAACGGATTTTTACCCTAAAAGGGTCATCTAGAATTTTCGGGAGCCTTTTTTCTGGCTGAAATTTTCGAAAAGGTAAGTTTTGATCCCTATAATTTTCGGATCACTAGACTTTCACGTAGGAAATCCGAACAGATGAAAAATTTTTAGGGGATAAAAATATGCCTATATCTACCGTTTAAATACTAAAATACGTTCAATAATGCTATTTTAAGTGGCTCTGAACTATATTCTCGTTGGGTGCCCCTGAGCGGTGAGCCCGTGTTTATTGAGAACAACAACAAAACCTCCAAAGGGAGGGAAGGGTGGAAATTACAAAACTTTAGGACGGTTGAACTATTAGAACTTAGCAATACAGCTCAGAATGAGACACAGGATTTTTACTAGGCCTTTTGTAGTTGACCTTCTATCTGAGGGTAAGCCAATGAAAAATACTGTACTATCGAATAGAACGTGCACTTGAAGTGCTCCACGAGGTATGCATGAGGAAAATTATTTTTACTAGCTATACAGGATTGCTATTGTATCAGTAATTTTCCAACTGTGGAAGTAAATTTACGCGCCACCCAGTAATTTTACTACTCTACCAGATGTGATAAGGGCTGGCGTTAACGTTGCGTTACATGTTGCTGATTGAGGGCGTCACTTTCCATTAACTGAGTTTATAAAACTGAGTTGTAAAACTTTCGTAGCATTGTAGATCTAGAATCTGTTGATTAAGAATTTTTCTACATTTTCTAAGGAGAAATGTGTTTACCCTTATTTTTCTATTATAAATTTCGTACGCAATTCTGAGCTATCTGTTATAACAAGTTATTAGTATTATTTTTCGTAATTGTTGAACAGTTGATTTTGCCTTGCAAGTAGAAAATTATCTTAGGCGTGTAACCACATCCTATGACGAATAATAGAATTGACTCGGTTTGTTTTTATCAACCTTAGTGGCTTTGATTGTAATCGGTTTATGCGCGGTAAATAATAATTAAGGTAGATAATGTGGGATATGTTAAGGAAATAGGTATCACGCTCATGTGTTAGATCGCAAGAAATAATAGTGAGCCTTTGCCAAGTTCGGTTTGCGGCCGGACATACGTAGTCAAGGCGTTTACTTGTGGTAACCATAAAACTAGTAAGCATTGTAATTTTGAGTAGAACGTTTAGAACGATTGTGATGTACGAATGAACGAACGCAATAAAGCGAAAAAAGTGAGAGATACAGTCCTGATTGTTTATTGAACCAGCGGACGCGGAGATATTCCAAACGCAGTGGAAGATTCCGCAACACTATCGTTTCTCAGGCTTTCACGGACAGCGACTAGGCACGAGTCTAGATCTGAAGCCAGAGGTCAGCCGGAAGTCGAAATTCGAGGAAATCTATTCAGTCTCTATTCATTATCCATAATCTTCAGTATTAACTGTTTGCGAGAGCTTCGTACCGCCAGGAGATAAGCGATTTAATGTTTCCCTAAAGGCTACGCTACAGCTGAATATTGAGTTCCCACGAAGCACATCATTTACAGCGTTGTAAAGGATCTACATATTTTAAAACATCGGCAAAGGTTGCTCCGCACCACGCCAAGGTATCTGGTTACAAACTTTGTGCTTAAAACACGATTTCTGTTTTGAAGTCTTCCAAATTTTTGCTCGAAGGGCTCTTAAAAACCATTAAAGGTAAGATTGAGCAGTATTTTCCAGGGGGAAGGGCTTTTTTCACCTCCGTCACTGCACAGGGGCACCCAACGAGAATATAGTTCAAAACCACTTAAACATAGCTTGTTAAACGTATTTTAGTATTTAAACGGTAGATATAGGCATATTTTTATCCCCTAAAAATTTTTCATCTGTTCGGATTTCCTAGCTGAAAGTCTAGTGATCCGAAAATTATAGGGATCAAAACTTACCTTTTCGAAAGTTTTAGCCAGAAAAAAGACTCCCGAAAATTCTAGGTGACCTTTTTAGGGTCAAAATCCGTTAAAAATAGGCAATTAAATCAATTTTTAGATGTCCGAAAATCCTAGGAGAAGCAGGCAAACAAGAAATTTTACAGCAAATGTTCCGAAAATTCTAGATCTCAAATCGTCTTCCGAACAGATATTTTTCCGAAAATTGTCGTTGGGTGCCCCTGACTGCAGACCTTGATCGTTCGACTTAATGTCACTTTCACGCCTTTATATTTAATTGAGATTGATGCTTAAAGCCATGTTGTTTCTTTTTTATTCAGCATTTCTGAGAAGTTTTCAGTGAACTGAAGAGAGAAATTACAAGCATGCACTTAGTGCAAAATTTTGGGCTCATTATTTGGTGTTGCTTCCTTCTCATCATGCTGTCCTTCGCTGCGGACAATCAAAATGCAGATGTCATCAAACACTGCATGAATTCCACCAATTCAACGTCTTGCAGTTTAACATATGAGCACGTCTACAAAAGCTTAACAAAGAATGAGAACAGTTTTAACATATCCCATGCCTTGTATCCTGAAGGAGGAAAGCCATCATTTCTTGTCAGAGTAAATGTTTATGGGCCCAATAAAACACACAACTCTACACCAGCACAGTTTCTCTGGAGTATACACTGTCTGTTTTCTAATGTTCCTGGATGGCTGCTTGAAATATTGTCTCTTGGCTCCATTATTGTGACGTCTAGAACACAAGAGCTCGACGTACAAATTCCTGCATTTTGTTGCCACTTATCAGAGAACATAGAGAAAAGAGAGGAAATGATACAAGGATTTCTTACAAGGGCAGTATTTGAAGTAAGTGCAGATTTTGTCCGAATAAGTAAAGGTCGCCCTGTACTTTTGCGGGGGTGGTGGGGGAAGGGGGGTTATCCTGGGCATTCTTGGTGGAGCGTGCCGCCCGGTTCTCCAAATCTCCAAATCTCCAAAATTTCGCACTAACCCTGGGTTACCGAGGGGTTATCTTAACCCGGAACCCAGCTTCAAACAACCCGGCCCAGACCTCTAAAATCCATACCCGTCTTCAGATCTGGCCTTTAGACAGAAATTATGCTATCATTAGTTAGATTAGAGCGCAAACAAAACATTCTTCAAATCCGCAATTTCGAATTCGCACATTTCTCTTTCTTTCTTACTGATTTTGAATTGAACGATAAACCACGTTCATACACAACCTCGTTCCCAGGGTTCTCTCCTACCCGCCCTACGGAGCTCCGTAGGGCGGGTAGGAGAGAACCCTGGGAACGTGGTTGGTTCATACACTCCCGTAGTTCCCTCAAGAACCATACCCGATCCCAGACGAAAATGGGCAAAGTGTACAGACGTTTTCATACCAAAACGGCGCAAAAACACCAAAAAAACCCGATGGGGCGGCACATACCTATACAGCTTATAAAAGGGAGTACCCCCAGGGCTGTACTGTGAAAATTGCTTAACAGTTATTATTATTCATTCAAAACATTTCGCAGCTCCTAATTAGCTAAAAGCACGCGCATAATTCACCATAACCAGCTACTATTGACCAGATTTGGAAGCATTTCTAATTAATCAACCGATGACGTCAAAAGTGCTGCACAGTTGCAGGTTAATGCACTGTTAAGGTGACTCGACCCAGTTTTTTTGGGGGGGGTACCATCCTACTTTGAAGCTCTCTGGTATCCCCACCTTTACTTTTATCGTAAGTCTAACACATAGAATGGATAACATATAGATCAATCTGCAATATAACATAAAATTTTTGGCGATCGGAGTAAATGTCACGTGGTTATAATGCCACGCCCCTTTGTGGTCTGAGTCGAAAATCGGCTGTTGCCTGCATTCTTTCGTGAAAATCTCTCGGCTACACATAGTGCGCATTAGTGCCTTGCGCTGAACAGAGTTTCACCGAAATCGCAAAGACCCAATTCGAGAAATTCAGCGGTTTCCAAAATTAAGGTCATGATTTATGCGAAAATGATAAGCAAACTTTACACCGATTATATATCATAAACTATGAGATTCATCTCTTTATTTTGGGCATCATTATAACAGATGGGTCCTTGCAAGTCAGCAAAACGCTTTAGGGCCTTGTAAATGCGCGCGATTTTGAGCAAAGCAAACATATAGAAATTATAGTTTTCGCTATTTGTTGACGTTTGTCAGCGTTTAAGAGTCCTTCTCACGAAAAAAGCATTTTCTTAAAAATTCGTAGCTTTTTTTCCTTCAAATTTTTTCAGGGCCACAATTGATTAACTAACTACCCGGACTCTGAATTTCATGGTCATTGAAAAAATGTGACATTATCTTCTCTAAGCTCAAACTTGAGTAAACATTGAAGATTGTTAGCGTTTTGGCTGAGTTTTGGCTGAGTTTCGCTTGGCTGACTTCCGAATGCTCACATTCGGAAGTCAGCCAAGCGTGGTCATTGCACGCGTGCTGAACAAGAATGCTGTATAATGACAGACTAGAAACAATAGACAACTCCCAAAGCACAAACTCAGCCAAAACGCTAAAAATCTTCAATGTTTACTCAAGTTTGAGCTTATAGAAGATAATGTCACAGTTTTTCAATGACCATGAAATTCAGAGTCCGGGTAGTTAGTTAATCAATTGTGGCCCTGAAAAAATTTGAAGGAAAAAAAACTACGAATTTTTAAGAAAATGCTTTTTTCGTGAGAAGGACTCTCAAACGCTGACAAACGTCAACAAATAGCGAAAACTATAATTTCTATATGTTTGCTTTGCTCGAAATCGCGCGCATTTGCAAGGCCCTAAAGCGTTTTGCTGACTTGCAAGGACCCATCTGTTATAACTATGCCCAAAATAAGGAGATGAATCTCATAGTTTATTATATATAATCCGTGTAAAGTTTGCTTATCATTTTCGCATAAATTAGGACCTTAATTTGGAAACCGCTGAATTTCTCGAATTGGGTCTTTGCGATTTTGGTGAAACTCTGTTCAGCGCAAGGCACTAATGCGCACTATGTGTAGCCGAGAGATTTTCACGAAAAAATGCAGGCAACAGCCGATTTTCGACTCAGACCACAAAGGGGCGTGGCATTATAACCACGTGACATTTACTCCGATCGCCAAAAATTTTATGTTATATTGCAGATTGATCTATATGTTATCCATTCTATGTGTTAGACTTACGATAAAAGTAAAGGTGGGGATACCAGAGAGCTTCAAAGTAGGATGGTACCCCCCCCAAAAAAACTGGGTCGAGTCACCTTAACAGTGCATTAACCTGCAACTGTGCAGCACTTTTGACGTCATCGGTTGATTAATTAGAAATGCTTCCAAATCTGGTCAATAGTAGCTGGTTATGGTGAATTATGCGCGTGCTTTTAGCTAATTAGGAGCTGCGAAATGTTTTGAATGAATAATAATAACTGTTAAGCAATTTTCACAGTACAGCCCTGGGGGTACTCCCTTTTATAAGCTGTATAGGTATGTGCCGCCCCATCGGGTTTTTTTGGTGTTTTTGCGCCGTTTTGGTATGAAAACGTCTGTACACTTTGCCCATTTTCGTCTGGGATCGGGTATGGTTCTTGAGGGAACTACGGGAGTGTATGAACCAACCACGTTCCCAGGGTTCTCTCCTACCCGCCCTACGGAGCTCCGTAGGGCGGGTAGGAGAGAACCCTGGGAACGTGGTTGGTTCATACACTCCCGTAGTTCCCTCAAGAACCATACCCGATCCCAGACGAAAATGGGCAAAGTGTACAGACGTTTTCATACCAAAACGGCGCAAAAACACCAAAAAAACCCGATGGGGCGGCACATACCTATACAGCTTATAAAAGGGAGTACCCCCAGGGCTGTACTGTGAAAATTGCTTAACAGTTATTATTATTCATTCAAAACATTTCGCAGCTCCTAATTAGCTAAAAGCACGCGCATAATTCACCATAACCAGCTACTATTGACCAGATTTGGAAGCATTTCTAATTAATCAACCGATGACGTCAAAAGTGCTGCACAGTTGCAGGTTAATGCACTGTTAAGGTGACTCGACCCAGTTTTTTTGGGGGGGGTACCATCCTACTTTGAAGCTCTCTGGTATCCCCACCTTTACTTTTATCGTAAGTCTAACACATAGAATGGATAACATATAGATCAATCTGCAATATAACATAAAATTTTTGGCGATCGGAGTAAATGTCACGTGGTTATAATGCCACGCCCCTTTGAGGTCTGAGTCGAAAATCGGCTGTTGCCGGCATTCTTTCGTGAAAATCTCTCGGCTACACATAGTGCGCATTAGTGCCTTGCGCTGAACAGAGTTTCACCGAAATCGCAAAGACCCAATTCGAGAAATTCAGCGGTTTCCAAAATTAAGGTCATGATTTATGCGAAAATGATAAGCAAACTTTACACCGATTATATATCATAAACTATGAGATTCATCTCTTTATTTTGGGCATCGTTATAACAGATGGGTCCTTGCAAGTCAGCAAAACGCTTTAGGGCCTTGTAAATGCGCGCGATTTTGAGCAAAGCAAACATATAGAAATTATAGTTTTCGCTATTTGTTGACGTTTGTCAGCGTTTGAGAGTCCTTCTCACGAAAAAAGCATTTTCTTAAAAATTCGTAGTTTTTTTTCCTTCAAATTTTTTCAGGGCCACAATTGATTAACTAACTACCCGGACTCTGAATTTCATGGTCATTGAAAAAATGTGACATTATCTTCTCTAAGCTCAAACTTGAGTAAACATTGAAGATTGTTAGCGTTTTGGCTGAGTTTTGGCTGAGTTTCGCTTGGCTGACTTCCGAATGCTCACATTCGGAAGTCAGCCAAGCGTGGTCATTGCACGCGTGCTGAACAAGAATGCTGTATAATGACAGACTAGAAACAATAGACAACTCCCAAAGCACAAACTCAGCCAAAACGCTAAAAATCTTCAATGTTTACTCAAGTTTGAGCTTATAGAAGATAATGTCACAGTTTTTCAATGACCATGAAATTCAGAGTCCGGGTAGTTAGTTAATCAATTGTGGCCCTGAAAAAATTTGAAGGAAAAAAAGCTACGAATTTTTAAGAAAATGCTTTTTTCGTGAGAAGGACTCTCAAACGCTGACAAACGTCAACAAATAGCGAAAACTATAATTTCTATATGTTTGCTTTGCTCGAAATCGCGCGCATTTGCAAGGCCCTAAAGCGTTTTGCTGACTTGCAAGGACCCATCTGTTATAACTATGCCCAAAATAAGGAGATGAATCTCATAGTTTATTATATATAATCCGTGTAAAGTTTGCTTATCATTTTCGCATAAATTAGGACCTTAATTTGGAAACCGCTGAATTTCTCGAATTGGGTCTTTGCGATTTTGGTGAAACTCTGTTCAGCGCAAGGCACTAATGCGCACTATGTGTAGCCGAGAGATTTTCACGAAAAAATGCAGGCAACAGCCGATTTTCGACTCAGACCACAAAGGGGCGTGGCATTATAACCACGTGACATTTACTCCGATCGCCAAAAATTTTATGTTATATTGCAGATTGATCTATATGTTATCCATTCTATGTGTTAGACTTACGATAAAAGTAAAGGTGGGGATACCAGAGAGCTTCAAAGTAGGATGGTACCCCCCCCAAAAAACTGGGTCGAGTCACCTTAATTAAGACCAAGAAGATCTGGGGACGAGGTTAAGTTTGGTTGTGAAAAGAAAAATGGCCGAACAGTCGGCGGGACATTTTACTCGTTTCAAGACGAACTATTGTTTGAAAACATAGCAAGAAGACAACTCGATGGACAACATCTGCTATTTGGAGTATATTTCCCGACCTGAACAGCCCTTTATTATCTTCTATACATGCACTATCGAGGTGATCTTAACATCGACGAAGGTAAGGGTTGTTAGTAAACCCTATAACGGCGTAACGGGTAACGGCGTAACGAGAAACAGCGTAACGAGTTTTTTTTTCTTTTTTCTCTGAAACCCGATTTCTTCAAACTATTGAGCAAGATAAAAATCTTACCTAAATCGTTTTGTCCTAAAAAGATATCCTCACCTTGCATCTTTGATGAGATGATAAAAACGTTTACGTTTGCGAACGGGAAAGTAAAACTCTTTTTAACCTGGGGCAGCTAATCGAACGAAACTGAAGCAAAGATTAATCGAACTCAATCGAACCCAATCAGTCGGATTGTTGTTCGATTGGTTCGGTAAACGAACATAATCGATCGAACTGGACCTTTTCAGTGAGTTCGATTAATCGAACTCGTGAGCTCAATTACCGAACTCAATCGACGCGATTAGTTCAATTTTGTTCGGCAGAAGGACAAAACGCATCCACTGCATCCAGTTTCAATTGAATCGGAAACATCTGTGATCATCTCTCCAGTATGTGTGGGAAGCAGTTTCCAAAAAAATATTTCAGTTAACCTAGAATGAACTATAAAATCTTTATGGTTTAAGTGATTCAAATTCGATAAATTCACAGTTAATACGGAGGGACATGAACGGCACAGCTGACGGCACAGTAAAACCATGTAAAGTGTCTTTCCCGGGACAATACCGACCAGGGTATTCTTTATCAGCTACTTTGTTCTCCTACTTACGTACACTTGTGTAAATGCCTTATATAGCGTGAAATAAAGAAATTGGATAGGAGCACGTCCGTTGAAGTCACTGTTACCGCTACTTCAGTGCAAGAGAAGCATGGACGCGCACAAGTCCGCGCTTCTATTTATAAACGGGCGTCGAAATAAAGTGGATCTCATTTTGTCAAGAGCGTCTACATTCGCGCCGCTAAAACACAGCTAAAAACATACCAACCGCTGATCGATAATGCATATTTATCGGGAAGTTTAGAAGATGATAAGGTCTGCTCGGGTCTGCAAATATACTCCAATACAAATAGCAGATGTCCGTCGAGTTGTCGTCTTACTGTTCTTGCGTTTAGACAATATTCCCCCATAAAAAGAGTGAAATGTTCCGCGACAGTTCCGCCATTTTGTTCTTACTACCAAAATAACTCAACCTCGTCCTCAGGTTTTCTCGGTCAACGGTTCAATAACCTGCCAGGTAACCTGATAACCTGCAAAAGGCTGCTTTTTAAAGTCATTTTGACGTCGTCGGTTCAATATCGTAAATTATGTGTGTGGTTTTAACCAATCAGAAACGGGGAAATATTTTAAATGAATAATAAATTAGCAATCAATGAATTCGGCTTTTGTAGGATATGAAGACAAGCAGATCTCGGAGGGTGTTATCAACCTCAGCCTTCGGCCTCGGTGGATAACACCCTCCGAGATCTGCTTAATTCTTCATATCCTACGAAAGCCGAATTCACTAATTGATTTATTATTCACTCAAAATAATTCCTAGTTTAAAAACATAGTTAAAACATTCTTACCTGCATCGATGTCAAGTTCATCTTCGATAGTGTACGTTTAGGTTTGTCCAGCTCCGCAAATATTCTCCAAATAGCAGATATCGCCCTCCGAGTTGTCTTCTTGCCGTTTCTGCTATGTTTTTAGCTATTATTTCGCCTAGTTGCAGCTGTAGTTCTTACTCTTGAAACGAGTGAGGTGTCGGCCTTTTTTGTTTTCACAACCAAAACAACTCAACCTCGTCCCCAGGTCTTCTCGGTTAACGGTGCATTAACCTGTAGCGGGCTACATTTTTGATGTCATTTCCTCGTTAAACACAAAATTCTTCCAAATTTGGTCATCAGTAACTGGTTATGGTGAATTATGCGTGTGCTTTTAGCCAATCAGAATTGTGCAAATATCTCTGAACAATTATGCAGATCGAGGAGCTGGGTGGCCGATGTGGAAATTAAAACAGCCTCGACTCCGAGAACTACATAATTTTTCATATCAAACGAAAGCCAAAATCAATGGCTGTTTTATTATTCATTTAAAATATTTCTAGGTTTTTAACATCATTACCACCTTGTAGCGTTTCTTCAAAACATTTTCCTGTTAATCATGCTCATGCTGACACTTGAACAGGTGTTGGTTCCTTGCAGATACTCCTCAAAACGCAGAACACATCTACCGAGCATACATACATTTTTTAATATTCTTGCATTTGTTCCGTTCACTTTCTATAATTCGGCTATTTAGTCCCGCTTACGTTAGCTGCGAGACTCTAAAAATACAACCATTTCTTTTTCCTTTTTTGTGTGCGTGCGCCAAGAGGGAAGTCATAGTCCCAGGCGGTCGTAGCGGAGACTGTGGAAACTGGGGATAAGATTGGCGGCATGACGAAAGCCATAGTACACAGAAAGCTCGTTCAGGAAATATTAATGCGACAGGACTTCTCCAAGGGTGGCGGGTGACGGATGTCGGGTGATGGGTGACAGGTGGTGGGGATAATAATAATGAAAATTATGATAATCAATAAAAGTTAATAATAATATCCTTATTAATAATGAACGCAAATCACTGTAACTTTTCTTTTTGTTGATCTACAGCTGCAAGATCTGGCTGTAAGTCCGAATATTCGGGATCCATCTTTGAACACAGCTCAATGTGTTATACAGGGTTATAAAGGTAAATTCTTTGACTCCCCAGGAAATATTGGTGGAATGTTAATGGCAGGTAGTTTGTTTGCAAATTGCGCTGGCACTATTTTCATTTGGGCGATAGTCGACATGAGAAAAAATAACAGATCAAGTGGCAGGAAGATTAAAAACACGGTAACTGCCATGTGTGTTTCGATTCATTTCTTGTCAGTACTATGCATTTTATGTTTTATTGTTGCCTGTGGATTGGCTTTTCGTTTTTCTGAAGATTTTTCTTTGTTATCTAGCTTAGCTTCTGTAATTATATATGCTGTCCCCTCAACCTTTTTTTATTATATATTAATGCACCGCTTATCATTTTCCTATGTTAATTGTAAACGCGGTATTAAAGCAATATTTTGCCTATTATGTACATTTGGAGGACATACGATATGCTATATAAGTTGCTGGCTTGTAATTGGGATAAGAATCAATCCGTCATGGGGTTTAACTATTGCTCTCTTTATCATTTCTATTTTCGCTGCATTTACTTACGTAGTGTACCTTTACCTGGATGTATTTTACCCAAACGGTTATAACATGAGAGAGCTTGGAGAAAATACACTTCAAGACTTTTTATGGGGAACTTATACTTTGTCTGACAACCGCCCAAACGATAATGATGACCAAAACCGAGTTACTGCGCTTTTTAAGTTCCTTGCTTTATCGGAACGCTTCAGAGGCAGCAGGGCTAAATTTTTTTGTATGCTTGGATGTACTGCTGTGGGGTCTATTTTTGTCGTGGTAATTTTAGCAGGGCCCTCATTTGGTGGACAGACTAGTGCTGCAGACGAACTCCTTAAAACCTCCTCTTTGTATTTTATTACTGCATTTATAACTTGGGCTACTTTGAAGAAGCACGCTTCTATCTATGCTCCCCTCCAAAAGGAAAGAGCCCAAAATGCTGAAGGACAGGACACTGACCACCACACTGGAGACCACCCCGGTGGCGAGTTTGGCACCCTTGTTCAAAATAACTATTACTACTATCATTATTATCATGGTGACAGGCGCGTGTCTTACGAACACTCGTACACTTTTACGCGCGAAACAAGAGTGTAGAAATACAAGTTGTTTGATAGAAAATGCACGCAAATTCTGACCATTGATTACTATTAACGTTCGAGTCCTTTGAACTTGAAGTATATTTTAGAGTAATAAATATGCTGATTTGGTATAAAACTTCTATTATATGTCCAGAATTGCACGATTTGGCGAAAATGGCGAGTTTGGCGAAAATTCGTCAAGTTTTTGCGAAAACTCCATTGTAATGGCAAAAGGAAAGTGGTGATTTTGACGAAAATGGCGAATTTGGCGACGATTCTCCAAAGTTTTAGTGAGCTACTAGTTGCGTAAAAAGTTGCAATTAAACTGATGAGTTGAGTGCGTTCTGTAGAAACTTGAATAATACTTCGGTTCGGTCGTTAAGTAATTTTCTTTAGCTCAAAGGGTTGGTCATGGTGAAGACAATTTAATCCGCTCCATTTTGTAGTATAATAGTATATTATTATATCCCGTATGTAGAACTGACTACCAGCATTCTTAAAGAATACACAAGATGTGGCATCTTTTCGTAGCCTTTTTACTGGATGTCAATGCAATAACTGCATTTGATATTTCTTCTTAAATTGATTCTTAGATTGTGTACTTTTTCATTTTCTCTTTTTTAGTATTTTAGACATAGTTTAGGGAATTTTCTATTTGTATTTTTAATCACTCTTCCGTTTTTATCAATTTATCTATTTATCAATACGCGCAAACTGTTTTAGATTTTTATCCTTCTTAATTCTTAGTTTTTAATTGTCAATCACTTTAACATGAGCCTTCGCCTCGGGAGACTGGGTAACCACTCCCTGTGTGATTCACATTAAATAAATAATCTTATCCTATCCCAAAATGCACCTTGTTTGCCTCCCAAAATTGTGCATAAACATTGTTATCAATTTCTCTTGGGACGGCTGTAATACCCGGGAGAAATGAAAAACAAAGTTTATGCAAAACAAGGTGTATTATGGGACATGTGCAAATGGCGAATGCAGCAATGTCCGAGTTCGGTTCGCAGGTGTGTCCTCAAATTCTTGTTTCCATTTTCCCCTTTCCGTTTAGCTTTAAGTAAGTAGCTTCAAGTACCCTTCAAATTTTAAACAAATTTCAAAAGCGAATACAGTGCATTAGGGACCTTAAGCAACGACTACGACGACGGCAGTGAAAACATCAGTAAAAAAATGAATTTGGGTCCTTTCAAACTTTATCGCGTCTATTTGGAACCGCTCAATTATTCTAATATAGGCGACTTCAGTTTCCTGGAGTTGAATTCTTAAGGGCTTTGTCCATGTTCAAATAGAGAAGGGAAAATTTGTCGTAGTATGTCCACCTCGTCGGTAAATCGTCGCATTGAGAGGTTTTCACGTCGTAGTCGTGCAGTAGACGTCAAGGAAATGTACTAAAAAGCGTGATGCACGTGCAGAGCAGTTGTTTTGCTCGTAAAACCAATTTTTTTTTTGACGTTGTTTTCGTCGTTGCTTAAGGTCTCTAATAATATGATGTAAACTGCTGAGAATACATATCATACTTATCTTCATACTTTGCAGAATACCAGTTGTATTAGAAAGCCGTAGGTCATCTCAGGAAGGGAGGAGGGGGGCGGTGCGCACCCCTGCACACTCCCACTAGATCCGCCCCTGGGCGTATAGTTTTAGACATATTGATTAATGGAAAAATGTGTTTGCAGAATGAATCCATAGATTTGTACACATTAAAAACAATGCATGCTATTTGTAGAGAATTAGGTAATGCTAGCTTCATTCAGAAATACAATATACTCATAGTTATTCATATTTTTACATATTTCTTCTTCTGTTTAGCTACGATTTGCACCTAGTTACTCGTGACGTTAGACGGTATATTGTAACTCATCCGTGATGAACATTGTATTACCTCTTTTAGTTTAAAGAATCGAAGTTATTAGTTTGCACATTACTGAGTCATGAGAATTAAAGAAGTGTCCATTAAAGATAAAATGTCTTGAAGAAACACAGTCCCGTTATTGCGCATGAACCAAATTTTCTTCCAGGATTTTGCGAATTTAAAATATGCGAGTAGTGTCCGGTTACAGGAACTTTACATTGTGCACGGTTAAGTTCGATCGGATACTACATTGATCCTTCTCAGAATTACAGGTCAATGATATATTGTTTCCGCAAGGTTTCGATTTGTGTGAAATCGGGAATATTTGGCGTTGCTTTCTTTGCCGTTGGCAGTAGAACCGAGGAAGGAAAGCGCTTTGATGCCAATTGAAGGCCTATTTCTCCAGCCAGCTTCCATACAAACGCAAACGCAAACGCTCTAAACCTTCTGTATATAGCGCAGACGGACTATACAAATGGTTTACACGAGTGCGTGGGCCGGCTGCAACGCAGGCTACCATACAAGCTTTGATCATACTAATCGTGTGAGGAATAAGCAAAAATGGAATGACGTATATAATCCTGAAAAAATTCCTACACTGTTATATGTGCGACTGGGTACAAGTCTAGATCTGAAGCCGGAAGTAGATGAGAAAAGACGCAAAGGTCCGTGAACTCGATTTATGATCGAATGCGAGAGCTTCGTACCGCCAACAGAGAAGCTTTAAGTCGTTTTTTAAACTTTAATCAAGGACACCTGCTAGGGTCACACAATCCTGGTTCCTCCCTATCTCCCTTCCATGGTTGTTAAGTAATGGTTTTTCAGTGGATTTTTCTTGTTTTGAAGCCAACATTGAAAGAGAGAAGGAAAAGGAAGTTGAGCACAACATGTCAACTGACTCAACTGACCCAAGTTGTAATTAATATCACGAATTGTAGATGACCATTAAGCCAGAAAAATGAAAGTATTTCTCTCCCACTAAATGGGAAATTGTCCAGCCTGGCAAAGCATACCTTTTCCAGTAACTAATTTGGAAATTACCACTTAAGGTGCTTGATATTGTTGTAAGGATCTACAATATAGCAGATTATAGTTCTCAGTTTAACTAAGATAATAATTTGAGTTGGAAGAGCTCACTAAAATTAATTCTTAGAGAACTAACGCCGTGAGTAGATTTATGTTTGTAATTAATTTTGTATGTCATGCATAGGAAACCTGTAATAAGTATAAGAAAGTCATAATAATAAAGATCAGTTTTCAAATGTTTTAGGCAGTTCAGCCAGATTTAAACCCCACTCCATAAATTTTTTTGAGTTGTGGGAAAAACACTCCTGGCAGCGACCAGTGTCATTTTTTGGCACCGCTTACATCTTTCCACCCCGTTTACATCCTGCGAATGGGCTTAATATCTACGTTAATTAGTTTTAAATTTACCAAAAGCACAGGCTAATCGTGGCAATCGGGAAGGCAGTAAATGATGAAAAAAACCCATAACTAAGGTCTTAAATGCGACCTAATTTAGAAACCGCACACAGGTATACGGAGTGCAAAAATCAAAGATTTTATGTCATGCTATGGCAGTTCCTCTGGTATTGGAGGTATTATGGGTATTAAGAGATAATTCACTAGGAATGGGCAAAGCGACTAAATTATACTGCATCTTATAAAAATGTGAAAGTTCAATCAATGTTCTTCGCGCTCTTGCAGTGATGACTAATTAGGTTCGTCGTTTAAGGAAGACACATTTGTGGATTTCTGATAGTCTATCGTTAAACACAAATCTCCCTGAAATATGGCCGCTCGCCTTTGAACCGACTCCGTATGTGGTATGGGGATTCCAATCTGTACTTGAACACTTGGTTACAGGACGCACAGGGGTCTGATATGCATGCACATTCTTGAATTTCAGGCGGAGTGGAGTGAATGTTGCGTTGTTAAACGGCAAGCAGGCGATTTGCCTTCTTTCCCGACTCCCTCTAACCTGCGCAGCTGGCGGTATTATGTGATTAAAGCCAAATCTCACTCGACTAGTACACAATACCGCCAGCTACGCAGGCTAGACTTCCTCACGCTACTTGTTCTAATTCAATAACACCATACATATACCGACCACCCTTAGCCCGAGGTGCTTATAAAACTGCTGACGCTTTCGATAGAGGGTATTACAAAAATTAAACATGTTAAGTCATACTGATTCTTGATTGGTGCAAATCTCAGCTACCAATAAGAGGCCCACTCCTTGTGAAAGGAGTGGGGACGTTCTTCGTAAAATTAGAATTGGACCAGTCTGCTAAGAAAACTAAGAAAATGGGGGGAGAAAGCCAGGGGACGAGGTTGGGCGTGGCTCGGGTTTATTTGACCCCTGCTGTAGTTCAGTTCTGTTCAGTTCATGGTTCACTTACATAACATAACATGACATAACATAACATACACTTTATTACGACTCTTCTAAACGGGGCTATTTTGTCGTAATATACAATGATAAAATTACAATGGGGTTAAAATATTTACATCTGTTACAACAAGAAATATTTATTTAGTTTATATACAGTCATGAAAAATGTGATTCAATCTATTTAAGAAGAGTTTACAAGAAAGTGGGCGGCGACTTTCCTTGGCTTCAGATATTGTTTAAGTTCCGAATGTTTTCTGGGAGTAGGTTGTATTCTTTTGCCCCACGAAAGGCGAAAGAGCGTTGAGCAGTTGATAATCTGCATTTAGGTAGATTTAACAGTGACATATTTCTAGTGCTGCGTCCTGACACTCTAAATCTATCATGAAATAAATTGCAAAGATAAGGTGGTGCCTGATTTGTTTTGATTTGATCACTGTTGAGGTCAGAATTGGCAACGCTGATGTCAGACGGGGAAAGAGTCAAAAGCAGTTTAGTGTCGTCTACATAGCCCATGGCTTCGCACTTCTTTCGTACAGAGAGAAGGTCGTTGACGTACAAAGTGAACAAAACTGGACCGAGAATGGACCCCTGGGCCACACCCACTGTCAGTGGGAGGGGGTCGGATAGTTCACTGCCAATCCTGACCACTTGCTTGCGTAATGATAGGTAACTCTTAAAACAGGCTAGAGCGGAGGCCGACACAGCCAGTAAGTGTAGTATTGATTATAAGTTGTCATGTTGGATGGTGTCGAAAGCTTTAGACATGTCGAGCAGCACAACAACCGATATACGTTTTTCATCCATATTCATAAGGGACTAAGGAGCTGGTCCGTGTAGTGCAGTAAGGCTGTTTCAGTGGAGTGGAACTTTCTATTTACACTCTGTAAGCCGGGTATCTTTCTATCATTTTATCCAAAAAGTCCATAAACTGGGTGTGAGCAGCCCCTGTCGCATACCTTTGACATTATACTAGTAGAAGGGATATAGGGCGGGTGTTTTCGGGCTCATCAGGATCGCCGGACTTGAGGTTTGAGATGACCACTGCGGACTTCCACGCATGCGCAAAGCAATTCGATGCGAACGAAGAATTAATTAGATTAGTAATGACAGGTAGGGTGGCTGGTAATCTGTCTTTAAGGGACAGACCATTAGAAAAGTTATGGGGGGTGGGGGGAGGGGAATTTTCGAGCCGCAGGAATTGTTTTTCGTTATCAAATTCCTTGTATGAATTTTTTTTTAGGCCATTACATGAATATGTGTTAGGATTAATTGGCGTGCACGATTTTTTTTTCAGTTGATTTTCCTTTGCGCGAATATTTTTTTGTACTTCGCCCGCTCCCACCCCCCATAAGTTTTCTAATGGTCCGTCCCTAAGCACTCTAGCAGATACTCTATCATGCCAAGGCACTTTGTTTGATGGGATATGCTTGACAATCTTTTCAGTTCATTAATTAACTCCCAACAAATTAATTAATTCTCAACAAATTTTACCAAAAGAACAAATATTTCGGGATTCCCTAATTATAAGTAAGTAACAGCTACAGTCGAGGTGAGTAGAGGTTATATACATAACATAACAAATCTCTTAAACAAGTCGAGGAAAAATATCGAAAACAAGTTGTCGAAAAAGTCAGTCACTGTCAACAACAACAGTCCTATTCAGGACTACGTTCACCCCGACGATACAATTTTTTTTTACAGTAAGACAGTCATGTATTTTGAAATCAGTGATAAACATATAAATTTCTTATGGATCCGTGGGATAAAGAATTAATTGCAGAGATCATCACAACTTACCGGTATGCAGTTGCAAAAATAAAGCATGAAAAATTTAGGCTTCCCGCCAGGCCTGAATTTTTTTAAGTACTATCCCAAGCGATATCTGTATGGTTTGAAAATGTTCGATTTTGTCTGATGCTTCAAGTGCCTACCAAAATATGCTAATCGGGCAGAAGTGAGCAAATATTGCCTAGAAATTTCGAGTGTGGCTAAAAAATTTTTGGATAACCGTTACGTTCGTCTAAGATATTGGGAGTTTTTCTAAAAACCCTTCCCTAAGATTTACGGAGGTTGTGTTATTTATATTTATTGCTATGAATTATTGCATTAAGAATAAGAATCTATTTCAAAACACCTTTTTATGTCGTTGATTTTTGTTTTCTTAGAAAAGGTCTAAAATTTTGGTCTAAAGACAAAACGTCCCTAAGAATCTTATCCGAACAGTAAGGCAGTTCTAAATTAACCAAACAGGCTTTTAAAGCATAGAACTATTTGAACCAATTCTGACGTAACTGGAAACATCTGGTTGTGGCCATGGGTGCCCAGATCATAAACAATGTCCGTATTAGATCGGTCAGTATACTTTATACCGTATTTATTCTTCGATTAACCGCCCTGGGCGCTTTTTACTTTTGGACCTTGAGAGTGGGCGCTTATTCGAGGCTGGGCGCTTATTAAATTTTCACCATTTTCAGCAGGTGAGGTATATTTATTTTGCAACAAATCATGAAATGCTAATAACAAAACGCAAACAAGTAACAAAGCAAGGTTTCCGTAAAATACTCTGAAGAAAACTCCGTCCTCGGGGAAGTCTCTTATTAGAATTTATTCACTCAAGTGGGTGGGGTGAGGGTGAGCGCTTATTTGAGTTTGATTGGGAGGGGTGGGCGCTTATTCGAGACTGGGCGCTTTTTCGAGGTGGGCGCTTATTCGAATAAATACGGTATGATCTAATATATGCCTCGCTTGACAATCGCGAAAATAGCAATTTGCGAAAATGGAAATAGCGAAACAGAGCAAAATCATTCAATTATCCAGTTTCTTGCTCGATGAATAAGAGGTTGCGCTTTCGTCGATCAACGACATCATTAGACGATGTTGATCTCCAAACGACATAGACGTATCAATGGATGGACCGGATACCCTTCAATTTATAAACTGAGGTGATATATTCGCCAAAAGCATAGTTTTGTTGAGCACAGTTGTTAGAATAAAACGCCTGCTATTTAAACGCCCCCGCTAGGGCTCTGTTGGGAAACATATAGCGCGTTACGCAACGCAACGTGCCTTACCCTAAACATAGTAATGGAAACCTTGATCGCGTGTACTTTTAAAGAGATAAGGAATGTATTAAGTTGACAAGTTAATTGCTTTTGAATGTTACGTACGTGATGTGATAAGAATATGACACATAGATATCTTGTAACCAAAATGCCAAGACTGTGTATAAGAAAAGAGAGTTGTTATGATTAGGCAGAATGAATTAATGAATGTACGGTGTAGTGAACGAGGATCGTTGCTGGGAATAAAGATATACAGTCCAAGTTCCGAGTGTTTGATTGATTGTGTGGATATTCCCGAACAGGCTCCAATAACATTAAATAGTCTCCTGGGCGTTATATTAGATAATTTAAGGTAACATTGTAGGAGATCTAGAATCTGTTGATAAGAATTTTTCTACATTTTCTAAGGAGAAATGTGTTTACCCTTCTTTCCCTATTATAAATTTCGTATGCAATTCTGAGCTATCGTTTCTAGGCTACATAGCAAGCGTTTCCGCGCGAGTTCGTTGAGAAAGTTGGGACGAGGGCAAAAAAAAACAGGAATGTGTAGTGGGACAGTTTATGCTGTCATATATAGAATACTAAAAACCAGTCTAAACAGCTCCGGGAATTAACACATGCGTAGCTTCTGTACCAGAATAGGTTAGTCTGTCTCGTAGTGATTAAAGTGTTGTGTACTCGTAACAAATCCTTCTACAAAAGTGGAGGAGAATCCGGGCAATGAACATTGAAAAGATTGCGGTAGTTCCTGATTCTGATCCTCGTGCAGACATCCGGATGATACTGAACAAGAACAAGTGACTAGGGGAACTGTAGCGTCTTCATTACCAAAGGGCACTGTAGCTTCGCCTGTAAATCGTTGTTCAGACTTAGCAACGATGGCTTTTGCCGCTTTGCGAAATATCTCAGCTCATTGCCACAAGCCCGAGTGTTATGCTTCAGAGGCTTGTAAAGCGGTTTATAATAGCTTACCGAAAGCTAGAGACATTCTTTATCGACATGGCAAACTTTTTCGTCAGTCAGTATCCCTTTTTGTCTTTACAAGGTGGACCGCATGGAGGCACCTACCTCCTTGTTTTGAATGTAAAGCAATTCCGTGAACTTAACGGTTAACACCCCAAGAATGGGTGGACTAGTGAAGGAACTTTCCTTTTTGTTTGTTTGCTAAAAGATTTCAAATTTTTTACCCAACAAGGGGTGGACTGTTGTGGGACAGTTTATGCTGTCATATATGAAGTAGAGAATACTAAAAACCGGTCTGAACCGCTCCGGGAATTAACACATACGTAGCTTCTGTGCCACAATAGATTGGTCTGTCTCGTAGTGATTAAAGTGTTGATTTCTCAGTTCCACTCGTATCAAATCCTTCTACAAATGAAGGACGGGGGGGAGGCTCCTGCTCTAAATTTCGCGCCATAACTCGACTGGAAACGCTTGCTACGCAGGCTAATCGTTTGGCTTTCACGGACAGCGACTGGGCACGAGTCTAGATCTGAAGCCGGAAGTAAGCCGGAAATCGAAATTCCGAGAAATCTATTCATTGATTCATCATCCATCAGTTCAGTAACTGTTTGCGAGAGCTTCGTACCGCCAGGAGATAAGCGGTTTAATGTTTCCTTAAAGGCTACGTTACAGTTGAATATAAGGTTCCGACGAACCACATCACCTGCAGCGTTGTAAAGGATCTATATATTTTAAAACATCGGCAAAGGTTACTCCGCACCACACCACGGTATCGTAATACAAACTTTGTGCCGCAATAATACTCAGTTTTACACAATTTCTGTTTTGAATTCCTCCAAATTGTGCTCGAAGGGCTCTTAAAAACCATAAAAGGTAAGATTGAGCAGTATTTTCCAGGGAGAAGGACTTTTATAACATAGCTCGTGTGCTTTCCCTATTTAAGTCCTATTGAGCCGCTATGAACAAAATCTTTATTTACGCTCGGGCGTTTGTAAATAAAGATTTTGTTCATGATGACGTGTCAGTGTCAGCTGTGTTTTTCGTCTCTTTTCCTAAGTACCCAAAAATCGACGGCAATGATAAAAAACTTTCTGGACTTTTTTTGGAATTTACCTTATTTCTAGCCACTCAAACCAACAGCAAAAGCGGTGAAAATGTTTCGCAAATAATAGAGCCTGAATAATTCGTTGAAAAGTCTGCCGTAAAGACTGACATTTAAGTGGAAAAAGACCACAAATTGGTCTGTGTCGGAAAATATATAATTTGTATAAAGTGTCCTCCGTTTTAAACGTTCCTTTTATATCCTACAAAACAAGTTAATTATAAAGTAAGCTCAACAGCGCTTTTTTTTCAGCACTTTTGTTATCGCCGAACAATCCGACTGAAGCAGGAAAATTTCTCTTGCAATAATTAGACCTGTCGCGGATTTCGACGCCATCTTGACGAGCAGGCAAACGCGTGAGAAATTACAGATCCATGTCGAATAATTTCCGTAATGCGGCTGTTCTGGAAAATATATGAACTGTAAGCTAAAGCTACAGCAAAGGATTTTACCAACAAATTTTGGGGGCTGTTACTGCGCTTAAATTTCTCCAGAAGCTCGCTTTAGATTTTCCATATATTTGTCTGCAATTTTTTCCGGGATATTTTTACGGACGAATGTATGGAAAATTTTAAAAAAGGTTCTAGGTCTTCTAGCGCATGTAACGCCCTCAAATATTTTCAGTAGAATCCTTAAGAGTGAATCTTTAGTTTACAATTCATATATTTTTTGAAACAGCCGTTTTACGGAAATTATTCGACATTAGATTCTCATACAAACACTGTAATTTCTCACGGGTTTGCCTACTCGTTTAGCCTGAATTTCATCCAATTACTTCGAGTCGTTATTTCTCCCTCAGTTGTTGAGAGGAGAAAACGACTCGAAGCAATCGGATGAATTTCAGGCTAGCTACTACTCGTCAAGATGGCGTCGAAAACCGTGACAAGGTCTAATACACAAGAAGTCATGAATTTATTACTCACAAAAACAACTGCTGCCAGCAGGTCTTCTCAGGAAGCCGTAATGACCAGCCATTGTTCGTAAATGAATATAAGGTTAACGTAGGATGACAGTCGTCTTCGCTAAAAAACAAGTTTTCTGGATTTCGCTGAGCAAAACATAAACATCTTTTCCGCGAACTCAAATCATACTCCACGACTTCCAACGAACATGTGAGTATTTTTTTACCTTTAGGTGGACTTTAAGACTCTTTTACCTTTGTTTCTGCTTAGTTTCCATTGATCGTTCAGGAATAAAGAAGCAAATTTTTTTCTCAGTTTTACAGAAAGAATCTCAAACTAGACGATCGTGGCGTGTTTGTAACCAGCCAATAGAAGCGTTTGTCATTGTGTCGCGCGTTACGACAATTTTGCAGTTAATCGAAAAGCAGGCATTTTTGTCAGCTATGTTATAAAAAAAATTTGCTCTTGCTTTTAGCTGTGCGTATATCGAGTTATGGATGCACTTGGGAAGTTTGAATAGCACTCAAGAAGCTAGAGTTGCACTCGGCGATCGCCTCTTGCAACTCTTTAATACGCATCTCTCGTGCTCTTTGAACGACTCTCCAAACTTCCCAAGTGCATCCATAACTCTTGACTGTAGGAAGATCGAAGGGCCTCTGCTCGCAGGGTACCATAACTCGGCACGCTAAGCATTAACAAATTCTTAATTTTCACCTCGGCGTCACTGCTGCAGACCTTAATCGTTCGACCGAGTTAATGTCGCTTTCTGCCTTTACATGTAATAATTGTTAGATTGATGCTTAAAGTAATGTTGTTTCTTTTTTATTCAGCATTTCTGAGAAGTTTTCAGTGAACGGAAGAGAGAAACTACAAGTATGCACATAGTGCAAAATTTTGGAGTCATTATTTGGTGTTGCTTCCTTCTCATTATGCTGTCTTTCGCTGCAGACAATGAGGATGCAGATGTCATGTACTGCATGAGTTCGACCAATTCAACGTCTTGCAGTTTAACGTATGAGCAAGTCTACAAAAGCTTAGCAAAGAATGAGAACAGTTTCAACATATCCCATGCCTTGTATCCTGAAGGAGGAAAGCCATCATTTCTTGTTAAAGTAAATGTTTATGGGCCCAATAAAACGCACAACTCTATACCACTAAAGTTTACCTGGGGTATACACTGTCTGTTTTCTAATGTTCCTGCATTTCTGCTTGAAGCGGTGTCTCTTGGCTCCATTATTGTGACGTCTAGAACACAAGAGCTCAACATACAAATTCCTGCATTTTGTTGCAACTTATCAGAGAACATAGAGAAAAGAAAGGAAATGATACAAGGATTTCTTACAAGGGCACTATTTGAAGTAAGTGCACATTTTGTCTGAATATTAAAGTAAAGTTCGCCCGGTACTCCCGTAGGCGGGGAGGGGGAAATTCTTGGTGGGGATTTGCTGGTTCTCCAAATCCTGACGCTATTTCAGACCAAAAGAAGTCATTTTCCACATCCGTTTTCAGACCTAACCTCTAGAACCATACCTGTTTTCAGACCTCATGGCCTTTAGGCAGAAATCATGTTTTCATTACCCAGATAAGATGCGCAAACAAAAAAATTCTTCAAATGCATTTCGAATTCGCATATTTCTCTTTCTTTCTTACTGATTTGGAATTGAAACCATAAATACGTTCATACACTCCCGTAGTTCCCTCAAAAGCCATACCCGACTCCAGACACGGCCCGAAAAAAGAAACCCGATGAAGCTGCACATACCTATATAGCTTATAAGGGAGTCCCCCCCCCCCCCCCCCACAGAAAATTGCTTAACGGTTATTATTATTCATTCAAAATATTTCTCAGTTTCTGATTGGCCAAAAAGCACATGCATATTTCACCATAACCAGCTACTGTTGACCAATTTTGGAAGAATTTTGCGATTAATCAATCAATGGTTAATCAACCAACGCACAGTTACAGGTTATTGTACTGTTAATTAAAACCAAGAAGACCTGGGGACAAGGTTTAGTTGTTTTTAAGGATATAAACGAAAGCCAAAATTAATAGCTGTTTCATTACTCATTTAAAATATTTCTAGGTTTTTAACATCATTACCTCCTCGTCGCATTTCTTCAGTCATTTTCCTGTTAATCGGCACAGCTTCAGAATCATGCTGACACTTGCACAGGTGTTTTTTCCTTGCACTACTCCTTAAAACGTATGGAGCGGTATTGGTGTCAAAATTAAGGTCTCATTTTATTATGCTGTTCTCCTATGTTATGTTGTAGTTTATGCATTTATTTCCCATTTAAAGACGGAAACATTTCATTTTATAGTGCGTGTATGCCATTTTATGAAGGTCTCGTTTTATGAAGGTCTTATTTTATGAAGGTCTCATTTTATGATGGTCTTATTTAATGATGGTCTTATTTTATGATGGTCTGTAGTTATGTTTGTCGCCGATTTGTATTTGACCCTCTCTTATTTTGTCAGTTTTGTTCATGACTACTGGGATAAACTGACTAATTATCGCGCGATAATTTTTAAATTTTCTCATTTATCGCGCGATAACTGCTCATTTTATCGCGCGATAAATTTGAATTATCGCCCGATAACTTAAGGAAAAAAAAGATTGCAATGTCCCTTACGGGCCACCGTAAAATACAAATCGGCGACAAACATAACTAAAGACCTCTCTCAACTCATGGTGAAAGAAACGCACAGCAAGGTCTTGCGCCTAATTAAGGATCTTCACCGTGAAAATCATATTGATGACATGACCAGAAAAACACCTAATCTCAAAAACCTAATCCACAATTCTAAGTAGAACCGTTTTTAAACCTATAGTTTGGAAACGTTACATTGACGATATCTTTTCCCTGTGGGACATAAGTAAACCAGATATCGAAACGCGAAGCGTACATCGAACAAGCAAACTTACATCACCCAACTATCAAATTCACGGCCGAAATATCTGACACACTGAGACTGTGTTTTTAGACACAGTTGTATACAAAGGCACAAGATTCAAGGAAAAATCTATCCTTGACGTAAAGACACATTTTAAAAGAACGAAAACCTTCCAGTACACACATTTCACCTCTTGTCACCCGCCGAGTGTTAAAAAACGATTTGTCAAAGGAGAAGCCTTGAGAATCCTACGAACAAACTCCTCAAAAACTACTTTTGAGGAAAATATTTCAAATTTCAAAAAACGCTTGATTGACAGAGGCTACCCACAAACTATGATAAAAAACCTTCTATCAGATATAAAGTTCATAGAGAGGGAGTCTGCACTCCTGAAACTCAACAACAAAGAGGAAAAAAATATATTGCCTTTCGTGACACAGTATCAGCCCTCGGTGTCTACTTTAAAAGAAGTTTTACTGAAAAAATGGACTCTTACACAAAACCAACCGTTACTTCGCCAAAGAACCAAGAAGAAAGGAAAATCCCTAAAGGACATGCTCGTTAGAGCTAAAATATAAAAGGTTTACACAAGGTTTCACGCCGGTATAGAGGTGCGGCCTGTCATCCCTTGCATTTTCTCAAACTGACTAATTATCGCACGATAATTTTTAAATGTTTTCATTTATCGCGCGATAAACTGACTAATTATCGCGAGCTTGTTGAAGTAAAAGCATGTGCGGTCACCGTACAGTTGATATACTGCATCGATGAATTATTGAACTGACATTTATGAGCACCGCGATCACAAACAAGCAACGAAGCAGTACGAAGAGAAATCTCACACCTAGAATATGTATTTATTTCAAGACAAGTACGTGGAAATCACTTGTTAATCCTAGGAGAGCTTTATCAACGCACGTTAAAACAGGACATACTGAAGCAAAGACCTTCCTCGCTAGCTTCTAAGAACATTTGCGTGGACTGCCTTGCAATTGTAAGGCTAGTTAACTAATAATGGGCGGCCAAAACACTCTCTTTGACTTAACAAGAGATATACTGGGAATAGTAAAACGAAAATCGTAAACAGATCGACACGGCAAAGGTACAGAAGGTTTAATCGGCAAAAGAAGTCCCTTTCCACCGTTGATTAACTGTCGAGTTCCTGTTGAACTGATAGGATCACGTGCGTTCGGAAGCTTGATACTATAGTATGAAGCGATGCATCATGGGATATATGAAACTCCCCCAGTTGATGAGGTTTTTGACATTCTCTGCATTCAAGAAACGAAAATTGACAACACTTTCCCTAATTCTCAGTTCCATGTAAATAGGTACAATATCTTCAGACGAGATAGAAAGAAAGGCGGTGGTGGCGTCATGATCTTTGTACGTGATAGCATCATAGCCATCCCCATCAAGATAGTATGTAAATTTGTGGAAGCAATACTACTTAACTATCTGTTAAACTCGATTCGCACTGATAGCCTGCGAGCAAGCTCTCCTATTTGGGCGAGTGAAAAGAGTCTCGCTTGGGCGTTCTCGCGATGCGCGCTTCGCTTGCCCAAATAGGAGAGCTTGCTCGCAGGCTACACTGATAGCAGCGTACAAGCCCCCTGCTGTGGATAATGTTCCATTTACTTCCGACATGTACAGTCTATGGAATAAAGCTACTTCGCAGAGCGACAACATTATCTGTTTGGGGGATTTGAATTGTGACATTGGTAATCCTTTGGATAATAATAATAAAGGAAGATATCTACTGGACATTTGTGACATTTATGATCTGGATTCTTTAAATAATTCACCCACAAGAATGTCTTCTCAGCGTTCTTCATGCTTAGATGTTATCCTAACTAATGTTACACGTTATTTCAGAGAATCAGGAACTTTGGAGGTTGGCCTCAGTGATCATTGCCTAGTTTATACAGTTCTAAATAAGAAATGTCCGCAACCTAAAGCCCAAATTATCCGGGTGCGCTCTTTCAAGAATTTTGATGAAGGCTCTTTTTGTAGCGACCTTAGTTTGGTTCCTTTTTCGACGGCTTACGTCTTTGATAACCCTGAAGATGTATATTGGGCTTGGAAAAAATTGTTCGTTGAGGTTCTGGATGACCATGCTCCAGTTAAATCGTTTCGACGAAAACATCGTGATCAATTTCAATTTATAAATCCTGAATTACGGGAAGTGATGAGAGAACGTAATCGCTATAAAAGGCAGTTCAACAAGTCCAGAAAGCCTGAAGGAAGGGAAAAATACCGCCAAATAAGAAACAGAGCTGTTAGCATGAGAAGAAAAAGAGTAAGAGATCACTTTTCCAGAATCTGCAATGATAAACATTCAGATCAAAAGAAGTTTCGGAACACAATAAGACCGTATATTTCATCCAGGAAAAAGCAGTCTTTCCACAATGAGTGTATTGTTTTGAAAGACAATGGTGGTGTCATTAGAGAACAAAAGAAAGTCGCCGGGGTTCTGGCAGAATATTTTTCAAGTTCTCAGCACCCTGATTTCAATCAATTGCCTCCAAAGTCATACCAGAGAATAAAAGCTCATCAATCCCGCCCCTTCACCTTAACAAACACAAGCCCTGGTGAAGTGAAGAGAATTATGAAGAATCTTAAGACAAACAAA